TCTGTATCTTTGCATTTCATTTTTTCTGCCAAAGTGGAGTATCTTACATTTGTCACTGTTGAACTTCATTTTCTTAGTTTTGGCCCATCTCTCTAATCTGTCAAGATCGCCCTGAATCCTGCTCCTGTCCTCTGGACTATTGGCTATCCCTCCCAATTTGGTGTTGTCTGCAAACTTGATGATCATGCCTTCTAGCCCTTCATCTAAGTCATTAATAAAGATGTTGAACAGGACCGGGCCCAGGACGGAACCCTGCGGCACTCCACTTGTCACTTCTTTCCAAGATGAAGAGGAAGCATTAGTGAGCACTCTCTGTGTTCGTCCACTTAACCAATTACAGATCCACCTCACCGTAGTTTTGCCTAGCCCACATTGGACTAGTTTCCTTGCCAGAAGGTCATGGGGGACCTTGTCGAAGGCCTTACTGAAATCCAGGTACGCTACATCCATGGCATTCCCCGCATCTACCCAGCTTGTAGCTCTTGTGGCCGTTAACAATGAAAATAGCTTAACAACTTTACCTGGCTCTTGTAACTTCCAAGCTATCAGTGCTACAACCTTCAATAGTCTTGCATTTCCATCACTATAAAATCTCACATAACTGAAATCAGGATTCAAAGGCATTCCTTTTATACTTCCTATTAACTTTCTAGCAATATACAATGGGTGATCCCTGTTGTCCAAGTAAGATTGTTCTCCAAGTGCGGTGTCCTGGCGGTGGATACGTAGGTGACTGTGGAGTCCTATTCTTGACCTGCAGTGAGGCCATCGGTTCCAGCTGGTAGGCGGTCCCGGTCGGGGTTGGATTGATGCACCTTCCTCTTGGCATGTTTCTCTCTTTTGCCCTTCATTCGTGCTTCTTCAAATTCTACAGCATTGCTGGTCACAGCTGACCTCCAGCTAGAGCGCTCAAGGGCCAGGACTTCCCAGTTCTCTGTGTCTATGCCACAGTTTCTAAGGTTGGCTTTGAGCCCATCTTTAAATCTCTTTTCCTGTCCTCCAACATTTCATTCTCCATTCTTGAGTTCGGAGTAGAGTAACTGCTTTGGGAGACAGTAAGCAGGCATTTGGGCAACGTGGTAGGTCCAATAGGATCCTGCATGAAAATCTACATTGAAATTTCCAGTCTGTTGACTTGCCTACTTTATAACATCTAGAAGCAGGAAATGTCACATATTGGGACATGAATGCTGTTCTGTCTCCATGACAGATACTTGTCCCTTCTTTCCCTGTTGACAGTGCTAAGAAGACATCAAGTGCCAAATGTCCAGGCAGAGAATTTCCTGTGTAAGTACCCATTCCTATTTCTCACTACAGAGATATCAGCAGCATCTATGCAGAGGAAGCTTCCTAACTATTACTATGATTTGCAGTCTGGGAAATCCCTCTTCTGCACATAATAGAAGGAGCAAGCTCCTCTTCATTGCTTCTTGGCTTTTTGGTTTCTGGTTTTGCCAGTTTGTCAGCAGGGGTTACTACGATTGCAGCCAGAATACTACTTCCTTCATAACATCCATATAACAATTGGCTTTTGTTTGTCCACATTGTCAATCCAAAGATAATTGTGAACTGAGCAAATCTGTTCACAAAGGGAAGCCTTTTATGTTCAGCTAGTGCTGAGATTGCCTCCATCTGCTATAGTCTCTATCTGCTTACCCAGTCTATTATGCAAATGTCAGGAGTCATGGCGGCCACATACTTCCTAGATTTCAGTACTAGATTTCAGTATTGGAAAGAAGCTTTTCTCCACCTTCCCACTAACACATATTCAAAAATAAACTATTGTTTTTACAGGCAGAAATGAAATTCTGTTCACAAGCATTTTCCAATCTCACTTTATACAGCAGGGTGCCGGCTACCATTTCAGAAGGCAGGCTCTAATTTCCCCGATTGCTGTCTTGAATCTCTTCTGCAGCATAAGAGTTTTTGACATATAAGGCTACTCCGCCTCCTCTCCCCTTTGTTCGGTTTCTGTGAAAGAGGTTATACCCCTCGATATCTACATTCCAGCGATAGGAGTCATCCCACCAGGTTTCAGTGATCCCTATGATATCATATTTGTGGTGTTGTGCTAAAAGTTGGAGTTCGTCTTGTTTATTTCCCATGCTCTGTGCATTAGTGTAAAGACATGTGAGCCCCTGAGATCTTCCCTTGAGCTGTTTAATTGGGATTATTGTGCTTTTGGTACTTGGTCCTTGTTGTGTTTGTGCAGCCCTCCGTTTAGCCTTCTGGCGATTCCCAGACATTATGGGTAAAGTAGTGTTCGCAAGGCTGTTGTCCCCCTCCCCTCGGTTTAAAGTGCGTCTAATGAGGTTTGCGAGTCTGTGAGCAAAAAGGTGTTTTCCTACTTGTGTGAGATGCACCCCATCCCTTGCCAGTAGGCCATCCTCCTGGAAAAGCAGGCCATGGTCGAGGAAGCCAAAGCGTTCCTCCTGACACCATTTTCTAAGCCAGTCATTGACCTGTACTATTTTTCTGGCTCTTGTGGGTCCGTGTCTTACAATAGGGAGGAGGGATGAAAAGACCACCTGTACATTACATTCTTTTAGCTTTGCTCCTAGAGCTCGAAAATCATTTGTGATCTTTTGAAATGTATGCCTTGCAGTATCATTGGTTCCTACATGAATCAACATGAGGGGAGGACGGTGATAGGGCTTGAGGAGCCTGGTGAGCCTCTGAGTGATATGGTGTATTTTTGCCCCCGGTAGGCAGCATATTTCTCGAGCCATCCCATCTGGTCTGGAAATGACAGCTTCCGTTCCTCTAAGGAGGGAGTCGCCTACTACCAAGACCTGTTTACTTTCGGGAATGACAGGGCCCCTTTTGTGCAATTTAGTGTGTAGGTCTCCAGAAAAGTGATCCTGTTGGTGTGAATTGTGTAGGTGAAAAGTGTTGTCCTCCTCCTCGACATCCCCGGTGCATTCGTCAAGGACAATCCATTGAGATTCGTCCAAGAGCCTATGGTTCTCCTGTATGTGTTCCTGTTGCTCCTGGTCTATGGTTGGGGATGGTACACCTGCAGGATTGTGCAAGTGTGAATGTTGTGAAGTGTTGTCCCAGTCAGGGCTATCCCCCGCACACTGATCAAGGATGAGCCACTGATCAGTATCTAAGCCATTCTGGTCTTCCCCAATATGTTGTGTTTCTTGGTCAGGTGCTAGTTGTGTGAGAATTTGGAATCTATTGTGTAACTGCAGCTGAGCGGAAGTATTCTGAGGAGGCTTCCGGGTCCTATGTGTCCTTCTAAGGGTGACATTTCTCCAAGCCTGAGGGTTGTCGACATCTGAGGTGCTGTTCTGTTGAGCCTCCTCGTAATGTTGGTGTGATATGGGCTGCGTGTCTAGGACAGTGTGGTGTGTGGTGTCTAAGAAGAGCTCAAGTTCCTGAATATCCTTAAGGGTGTTAATACGGTCCTCGAGTTGTCGTATCCTGTGTTCCATGCGAGTGATCTGTTTACACTTGGGGCAGATGTAATTGAGTAATTGTAGTGTGAAAAAGCTGAACATGCCACAGCTTGTGCATGAGACGGGAAGTTTTCGTGTTTGTTCCATCTGGAGGTTGCTAATGACCTCCTCTTGGTGTGTGTTTGATGTTGTCTGTATGCAGGGGTGGAAGTATAGGTTACTGAGTGTATGAGTTCTGAGTGTACTGAGTGTATTTAGAGAGAACATGATTGTGAAGGAGAAAATTATAAATCACACACCTAACCAGAAATGTCTTGATACATTCCTACCAAATACTAAATCTGTCCATCATCTCCATCAGCAAACCGGATAGGAGACACTGCAGAAAGCAGAAACATCCCATTAGATGTTTCTGCTCTCCCTCATTCTTTAGAAATACAATCATTTCACATATATTCAGGGTTTCAGCCAACTATTCTGTGTTATATGGATCTCATCCACTAATATCTATAGCTACAGATCAAGAAAAAGCTCTGTTAATGTTTCATTTGTTCTAGTATACATTTACACACATCTTCTACCCTCTGACCCCATTTCTTGGCACCTGTCCTAAAATAAAGCAGCTCTACCCAGAGACACGGCTGGATGAGACACATTTTGATTCTTCTGGGACCTGTTCATCAGCCTCTGCGTTTCAGGCAATGTTGATTCTCTCCTGTCCTTCCAAGTTGCAGATGCTGGAGGGGATGCTGAAGAAGTGCCTCCCTCAAGCACTTGGGGTATTTATTTACTTATTTACTGTATTTACACACTGCCTTTCTCACCCCTGGGGAGACTCAAAGCGGTTTACAACTACCCCAAGTCTCTCCAGGTAACTGCGAGACTGTCTGAGCAGCTGAGCAGACATTTGTCAGCAGTTCTAGCTATCCCATCAGGAATAGCTAGGGATATTATATTTTGTGTGTGTGTGTGTGTGTGTGCACGTATGCAAATCTAGGCTTGGAATGGGTCTATGTTGTGGCTGGTTGTGAGGAAGATACAACAACTTTTGATGTGCTTATATATATATATATATATAGTAGGTCAAAATCTGATTCAGATTCTCTCTCCATTATTTGGTCTCAGACTATCTCCTTTGTTTACACTGCAGCACCAGTTCTGACATCTGATTCTTGACAGGTCCATGGAACAGTAATGAACATAAACCGTGGGAACCCACTTGGTCATGAGGTGATTATGGATTCCTGGCCCAATTTCAAAGCGGTCCTCACCCGGCCACACAGAAAGGTATCAACCTTGGGGCATCTTACAGAACATACTCTATATGACATTCTAGCAAGGACCTGGGGGCTGAAGGTGGATTACTTTTGGTAATTCTTAAAATGCAGGAGATCTAGTATGAATTTTGATCTACTGTTACCTAAAATCGTAATTAATTTACTAATGTAATGTTACTGAATATATGAATATGATTATGGAATGTTGTTGTATCAAGGTATGCATTTCTACTGGTTATCAGGCATAGCAAAGTTACTTTTCCAACCCATTATCACCACCAAGTTTGGCTGCAAAAACCAGAACCAGAACCTTTGTCACAGCCTCAACTGTCCAAATCACCATCTGAACGGATTACCATCTCTTGGTGCAGTTGTGCCTGGTAAAGTAGATTTGGGGTGTGGGATCAGGCCAGGCCAGGAGGCATTTCTTAGTTACTCATTTGAAACCAAGTAAGCAATGTAGTTACTCATTTGAAACCAAGTATGAATTCATTTTAGAAATGGCAGGAAAGTTATTAAACAAAATACTGTGGAAATCTGTGTCTCTCTCTCTCCTAGGTTGCCTCAGATGATGCAAATTGCCATGTCAATACATATGCAGCATTTTACCATGATCTTGATGCGTATCGAACTCTGGCGTTGGACACAGATGCTATCAATTGGGCCCAAAGTTTACAAATCCAAGGTAGTTGTCAGTTCCTTCCTTCTGAGGGAGCAGTTAAGTAGACTTTATAAACTTTGATAGGTCTGCAGCTTGATCAAATGGTACAATACGGTATATTCTCCCACATATACAATAATTACATAAATATCACAGTGCCACAAACATTATGTATTTTAAAATACAAATTAGGTTAAGATGGACAAGTGTATAACACTTGCAAATAAGGGGTGGGGGCAGATTATTAGGGGATCAGGGTTCCTAAAGAGGACAAGAATAATAAGGAAAGGATGGAAATGAGTTTTACACACACACACACACACACACACACACACACCATCCCACAGATGATGAGAGCGTAAAAAAGAGAGAAAAGAAGGCCATGCTGAGCTAAAGAATAAGGACAGGCAGGAAAAATAAGTTTTTTTTAAAAGACAGCATCAGTCCAGAGAACTGTGTTGCCTGAAGATCATCATCAATTGGCAAACCTACTAATAATCAAGGGACATAATATCCAAATCAATCGATATATTTTGCTTCAAGAACATAATTCCACAAGTGCCTCTCAACCTATTTCATAGATTCATACAATGACAGAGTTGTAAGGGGCTCCAAGGTTCATCTAGCCCAACCCTTGTCTGATGTAGGAATCCACATCTAAAACATCCGGGACAGAGACCACCTGTTCTGCTGCCAACCAGTATTTCCCATGTTTACTCAGAATTTACTTTCCTTGATGTAAACAAACATACTTGTTTGGGTCCCACTTTCCACAGCAGCAAGAATTAAGCTTTCTTCTGACAGTCTTCATTTCCTCTCTTCAACAGGGTAAATATACCAGTTTCCTCCAATCATTCATCACAGGGTTTGATTTGGACATTTTTGCCATCTCAGTCATTGTTCTCTGTATATATTCACACTTGTTGGTATATAAAATACAAACTCGTGTTTTGTTAGACTTCTAGATTCTTGTCATGTGTCAAGTCAGGTACCACCCATCAGTGTTCATACACATGACTTTTCTTGTTTAAATCTAAGCTATGCATTGCAACTTAACAACATTTTTTACCCTTTGAGGCAACTATCCAATTTATTAAAGCCATATTCTTTCTGATTCTACCTTCTGAGACATTAGCTACAATTCCCCAGTTTGCTGCCATCTGCTAATTCCCCTCTGTCTTTAGAGACTAATTTATAAAGATGTCGAACAATAGTGAGCTGAAAATAAGAACTTTGCAATGGTTGACATTTCTCTCCAAGACGATCAATAACAGATGACAGTGTTTGAGTTCGATTGGTCAAACAGTTACAAATCCACTTAGCTGTTCAGCAAGTTCTTTTAGTATAAAGAACTCTGCATTGCTCCTTTTGTCTTATCATTTTGTAATACAGTATTTTGTATCTAATCCTGTGTCTTTTCCTTTGCCAAATGAATGTTGGAAAGTCTGTCTGTCATTGTTTAAATGGAATGTTATTCATTATAACTAGTAAAGTTTTGAACAATAACAACAAATTAGGTAATAAATTAATCTTTGAGGCTGAGACTCTACCCATAAGTCATAAACCCTATGCAAATCTTTTTTTAACGTGTTTCCATATTTTGCCATATTTATCCTTTAATAAGCTAGAATTTTGGTGGTGCTATTACACAACTTGGAAGCCCAATTTCTCATTGAAAATTTCCTCTTCCACTTTAGTCAAATTCTTTGTCAAAACAGTTGTTTTTTCCTTGTTGATTTTGAATTCCGACTTCTTTCGTATTCTTTCCAAACAGAGTTCAAGCTCCCACCTGTAAACAAAAGATCGTCTTAAATAATTTCAGTACAGCATCTGCAAAAACTTTTAGTTCATAACCTTGTATTCAATAACCTTGTATTCTTGCCCCTTTAATGTGTTTTCAGTTGTTATTGCTCTATTCAAAATGTCAATCACAATTAAAAACATCAGTGTTGAAAGAAGACAGCCTTGTATTGTTGCTTTCTCTACTTGACATGAGTTTGTCAGTTCCCCATTGATCAAGATTGGATCATTTTGCTTGTCATATATCTGTTTAATCCATTTTTTTAAATATCTGGCACCAAATTGACCTTCTCTATGACATACACATTAAAAAAATTAAAATCAGAATGTACATGACAGTCAACTGGTGACAATAGAGAGGGATAAAACCCACTCATGTAGAGGAAAGAGTGGTGAGAGCATAGAGTTCACTAGAGAGTGCATGAGTACAGAAAAGGAAGGGCACTTTTATTCCAAACACCCAACATCTCTCAGTGTTCTTTTAACATTACTATATATATAATGTTATACATAATATATTATATAGATATATTAAGTCATATATATATATATATATGACTTTTAGTTCTGCATATGAATGTAGCAAGAAATTTGTGAAAAAATCCACAGTTATTACTTCCATAGGTAAGTCAATATTTTTGTATGATTTTTTTCTTTAAAAAGATTATCGCCCACAAGAAAATTAATGTCAGGCGACAAGATATTCTCGCATATTCTCACCAAATACATGCAATGAACTCTGCCAGTTGAGTTGCCCTGAATTCAATGCAGATTACTCAAATCAATATTCGATGCCCCAAATATTACTACTGCCCATATGATAGGTGTTCTCTTTCATGACTTAAATTTATCAAGCGCAAAGAGTTTCCATTAGCAAAAACTGGTATTCATCAGTTTTGAACATAGAAATCTCACATTTTACATTCCTGCACATTTTTCCAGGTTACTTAAAATACTTGCATTATTTTTTGGAGAAAATAACCTTTTGAATAGGTAATGAGCATAGACAGTATTAAATGACATAATTATTTCCTATTGTATTTATGGATGATGTTTTTTGAGTTACATGTTTTTGTGATTTATTTTCTTTCATATTACGTTTTGTTTTATTTGTTATTTGATTTAATTTCTAAATTGTTACTATGTGTTTATTATTATTTTAAATTGTTTTTCCTGTTGTAAGCCGCTCCGGGTCCCCTGGGGAGAAGGGGAAGGAAATAAATAAAGTATTGATGTTGTTGGTTTTGTAAGGAAAATGCCTGATCATTAACCATTAACAAATGATGTCAACTGTAATGTCAAAAAACCCACAAACTAGTTTTGGTCCAAGCTACACTGCCTGTGTCACTTTATGACAAAAGTATTTGAAACATGCCATCGAATTGCTAACACGTGAACAGGAGTCCACTTTTTGAATAATAGGAATTATATGTCACTGTGAGGGTTGGAGGTGGGGGTGGGGAATCAGGATTTTAGAGATGCTTAGGTGGGACATGGCCAAAATAGGTTTGGGAACAGCTGCTCTAAATCCTCCACCTGACACTTCCCAAATGCTGCAGAGTGATGTGCTCAGCTACCTAGCTGTGCGTGTTGGAAATCCTCCATCTAACAGAATTCTATCAACACTCTAGTATAGACACACATAGACACAGACACACCACACACTTGCTGACAAAGTATTTTATGGCTCTTCAGGGAACCAGCAGGGTATACTTCAAGTCTCCCAAGAAGCTGTCAGCATCAAGAATGCGCCACTGTCACCAATACCCTACATTACCTACCTGCATCCTGATCCAAATAAAATGCCTGAGTACCGGTGAGTATCCATGCTGTTACAAAAAAAAAAATGAGAATGTAATTCTTGATACTTCTGGGACACTGAGGAACCTGGGTTGCATTTTCTATTTTGAAAAATTGGCTTTTACTTCTTTTAATTTCCTTTGTTCAGTCTTCTTAGTTCTTTTTCATTATACACACACACACACACGCACGCACACTTTGCACCTAAAGAAGAATAGGCTGTTTGGTAACCATTTTTGTCCATATATTGTATTCAGAATGATCAGTTTTGAAAACAGAATTGATGTTTTGCATGTTTTGCTTCCTTTTCTGGGCTTTTTCTGATGTAACATTTGTGGATGTCTACTGGCTTTCACCCCCATCACCCCTCAACATCCCTACATTCTGGCAATGATCAGTCCCCCTCCCTAATCCCCACTTCTGCTTGTGCAGAACAAACTGTGCAACTGGAGGTTCTAGCAATAACATGAGAGCAAAACCTCAACTAATGGGATAAAGTTAACAGACATGTTGTGGGGGTTGTTTTGTGGGGGAATTTGATTGGGAGACCCCGTATTCTGGTACACTGCCAGCATAGGATGAATCATAGAGTCACAAAGCTGGGATAGACTACAAGGGCCATCCAGTCCAACCCGCTGCCATGCAGGAACATACAATGAAAGTGCTTGGATGTTGAGAGAACTGCTATACTAATCTACAACAGCTATGAAAATGTAGGGACCTATACCTGCAGCAAGTGCAAGCTGGATGCCCTGATGGAAGAGCAGTTTAACAGCGAGAATGAGGCTTTTTTGGACTGACAGAACACAGCAGACTCGCTGCAGCAGCAACACATTGGCAGGAGAATGGTTGTGCCACCAACCTTTGAGAAGAACATATTTACAGGGATCCTCGTAAAGCCTGAACAGAAGTGCTTTAAACTGTGTTTTGTGTACAAAAAAGACAATTTTGTACAGGGACTACAATTACTGGGGAAACAGACTCAATTATAAAGAAGGAATTTGGGTAACAGAATGTGAACCCAAGACAGATTGGGGGGGGGGGGGATAACAAAGAAGCTACAGAAGAGAATGACCAAGAGTCTTCCACACCAAAGAACAGAGTTTGGAAAATGAACACAATGAACTTGAACTCCTAATGCTACTTGATATATAAGATTTTATATATATTACAAGTCTACTTATTTAGTTGTTGGGAAATTAATATGAAGAATCAAGCAAAATGTTTTAAATTGGAATGTACATTAACAGTGAATTACATAACTACTGTCTCATTTCAATAACACAGTAAATTACAGTAAATATTCTTTCGATTTATGAGCAAATATTATGACAAAAAATACTGTATTACAATCAACTTTCAAACTGCACTATATGATTAGTGTTGAGTCTTATAATGTTTACGTTATACAGTTTAACTGTATTCAATTGCTTTATATGATCTAAACTGACCATATAATGCAGAAGCAATCTTTTCTCCACCACTTCAACCCAAATTGGGAAACAGTAGAGTGGGACACCTCAGCCAAGAAGTGGCAAGGTTCCTCCCACTCCTCTTGCTAAGTGTTCCCACTTCTGGAGTGAGCTGGAAAGAAAGCAAGCAGGAGAAGACAGGAGCTGATCTTATCTCCCACAGGAAAACAGGCATCATTTGTCAAGGAGGGGAAAGGAAGGAGGGGAAAGGAAGGGGCTGGCCCATTTTGTGGAAAGCATTCAGTCCAGGCTGGACTCATGAAGAAGTCTACAGATGAATAAAAGTCAGTCGAGAGTGACCTGTGAGGCCAGTTCCACACAGGGGAAAAGTCAGATCTAACCCAGGTTTAAAAAACCCTATTTGCCTACTATTTGCCTACTTTAAAAAACCTGTGTTGGGGTGGACTTCTCTCCCCACACCGGCTAGCAAAACCTTCTGGGAGAACACCCACATACCCGCATCCCCTCACCAAAACCCCTTAAAAATACTCAAAAACCAGAAAATAACTTACCTGGCCACAATTTCCTTGCTGCCAGCTCTCTCCTGGTGCATAGAAACAATGTGCCACGAGAAGAGGGGGATGAGGAAAATTGCTTCTCATCCTCCCTATTGCATATGTAAATTTTTCATTTGTTATTTTGTTATTTTGAGTTGTTTTATAAGTATATCCTGATGTTGCTTATTTGATCGTCCATTATTCCATGTGTTTGTTTTGTTTTCTTGGCATTGAATGTTAAGCTGATTTTTTGTTTTAAACTGCCCTGAGATAGGGTGGGATAGAAATAAACTACTTCTTCTTCTTCTTCTTCTTCTTCTTCTTCTTCTTCTTCTTCCTCCTCCTCCTCTTCCTTTTCTCCCTCCAGGCTAGATCCCGGCTTCACAGTGTCCACCCTGAATGCCTCTCATGTTGACCTGGTGAATGAAACATGGGCCTACGGAGGCAATGAACAAAGTCGTAGGTACATAGCCAGCCTGGTGCAGGCTTTCTTCAGTTTCTGCGTCCTGGATCACAATGGTCAGCTTATCAGTTGGAATATGATGGACCATGCTGGGACTATAGGAATTGCCTACACCCTGCCCTCACACCGTGGGAAGCACTATTTAGCTGTGATAGGAAAGGCACTAAGCATAAAAGCTCATTCTGCTGGCTACCCTGTGTATGGACATGTTGCTTTAAGCAATGTCCACATGCAGAGGATACAGGAGCATCGAGGCTACCAGAAATTATCTGACTTGTGTCATTATTGTATACATGGTGAAATATAGGAGAGAAAGAGCAAAAGAAAACTTCTCTGTCAACCTGCCTGGCTCACAGCCACACATACCCACCTACTATAAATCTACTTTCATTATGCAGGATAGAGTAATTCACTTTAAGGGTCAATTCCTTTGGCTGTAAAGATCACAGATTCATTCCGGGGCAGAAAGTTCCACTGCTGAACAGTTCTCACAGTCAGGATGCTCTTCCTAATGTTCAGGTGGAATCTTTTTTCCTGTAGTTTGTGGGCACTATTCCGCTTCCTAGTCTCCAGGGCAGCAGAGACCCTATGACTTCCTTTCTATAACTACCCCTCACATTTTTATACATAGCCATGGTGTCTCCTCTCTGCCTTCTCTTCTGCAAGCTAGACATGCCCAACTCTTTCAGCCACTCCTCATAGGGCTTGTTCTCCAGACCCTTGATCATTTTAGTCACCCTCCTCTGGACACATTCCAGCTTGTAAACATCTCCCTTCAATTGCGGTGTCCAAAATTAGGCACAATATTCCAGGTGTGGTCTCACCAAGACATAATAGAGGGGCAGCATGACTTTCCTGGATCTGGACACTATATTCCTACAGGCCAAAATCCTGTTGGCTTTTTTAGTTGCCGCATCACATTGTTTAGGGATAGCCAGGTTGCTTTGAATGCAATTTTCCTGCTTCTTGGCAGGGGTTTGGACTGGATGGCCCATGAGGTCTCTTCCACCTCTATGATTCTATGATTTTTGGCTAATGTGTATATTGATTTCAGAAACAGCTGATCACATTATACTCCAATAGATCATTCTTTCCAAAGCATCTGACCCCACATGAATGTCTTGTAACTGTATATTATTTTCATAAGCATACACTACCATATCTTTCCATTCCATGACCTCACCGATTTATAGCATGTGCTCACATTTAGCTACTTTAATATGTGTTATTTTTACCATATAAAATAAATTGTTGTAGAATTGCTGGGAGTCTGATTATAATTGTATGCAAGCATTGCATAAACCCAAGAGTTTCTCTCTTGTCCTTATGTCTCTGACATCATCAAAAGCTACATGGAAGAGTATAATTTTGTACATGTATTGGCATAATTACCACATACACCCAAATGTATTGCTTAGGGTGTTATGGGAAAAAATCTAGTCCATCTGAAATGAAATAGAAATTTCATTTGTGGGGAAATAAATTGTAACTTAATCCAGACAGGACAGATGTAACTCCTGGCCAATCAAAATGCAAATCAGGGATGGGAAATTCAGTGTGTGTGGTTCCATCCCCACATAAACATGCATGGTCACAATTTGTGTTTATTTCCACAACTCTGAGGCCAGAACTCTGCAATAGCCAGCACTGCTTTTGCACTGTTAAAGCAAATATGTCAGGTACAACCATTTGTAAAGGTGTAAGAACTGGCCAAAGTGAAATACAACTTGATTGTACCCTGGAAACATGTTCAGACATAGCCGTGTTGATTATACAGCAAAATAAAACAAAATCCACAAAAGAGTTACATTAGTCAAAGAAAAGGCATGGGACATTGCATGTAAACTTTAAAAGCTTCACTGGCTTATTTTTCAGGTAAAAGATGTTTTGAAAAACTTCCAAGAAAAGAAAAGTGATGGTACTCTAGACATAGGCCAACAGTAACAACATCTGACAAATTTGTGACTTGTGCATTTTGTCTTGAGACATCTCAATGCAGGCACAGACAACTCTCCCCCTTTTTGGACAAATGAGGTCAGAATCAAATGACATCCTGGATCTCAAGAGAAGTTATTTTACTGCTGCTGATGGACTTTGACTGTTTTTGGATATTAGCACTGATAGCTTTTGATGTTTTTGTTTCCTAGATATTGTATTGTCAATGGCTTTCATGGCCGGAATTACTGGGTTGTTGTAGGTTTCTTGGGCTGTATGGCCATTTTCTAGAAGCATTCTCTCCTGATGTTTCTCCTACATCTGTGGCAGGTATCCTAAGAGGTTGTGACCTCACAACTTCTGAGGATGCCTGCCACAGATGCAGGTGAAACCTCAGGCGAGAATGCTTCTAGAACATGGCCATACAACCCAAAAAACCTATAACCACCCAGTCTCTTAGATTCTAATAATAATAATAATAATAATCATCATCATCATCATCATCATCATCATCATCTTTATTTATACCCAACCACCATCTCCTCAAAGGAGAATTGGGGTGGCTAACATAAGGCCAAGCCCAAAATTACACTATTTATTTATTTATTTATTTATTTATTTACTTTATTTCTATACCGCTTTTCTCAGCCCTTAGGTGACTCAAAGCGGTTTACACAACACTACAGCAAAATAAAATACAAGAGGCAAAGATTCCATCAAAATAAATACATGAAATAACAAAATAAAATAAACAGTTTCAAAATACCATGATAGAGAAATAGAACTTCTACTAAAAACAGAACAACTCTGACTATGCTGGGGCAAACTATTCTACACCTTGTTGTTGTCCACTTTGTGGGTGTTGAACTACATGGACCTTTTGTCCAGACCAATCTTTGTTCTATTTCTCCACTTGTTCTCCTGTCCATCGGTCTTTTCCCAGATCTTTCCTACAATGGAACTAGTTTAGATGATCATCATGAGCAACTTTCCAACTTTAGAATGGAGTTACTATTATAATTGATTTAGCTACCTACTCCAAGCTAATTGATGTTTTTGATACCTTATCAGGATCTTTAACAATTTCACACACTCTATTAGCTATGCCTGTACTATCACTCTGAATTAGAAAGTCAGAGAGAGAGACTCATTCCCTGCATTGAGTTGGGAGTTCATCACTTTGGCTGATGGTCAAAATAACATGATTTTCAGGACACTGACTGGCCTTCTCCATCTGGCTGCAGAAAAGTTTAGACCAGTGCTTCTCAACCTGTGGGTCCCCTGATGTTTTGGCCTTCAACTCCCATAAATCCTAACAGCTGGTAAACTGGCTGGGGTTTCTGGGAGTTGTAGGCCAAAACACTTGGGGACCCACAGGTTGAGAACTACTGGTTTAGACCAATCTCATAGTATATCCTGTTTAGCCAGCATGCTTGCTTTGCCCATGTCTTGTAGCATCACTAGCTTCTCATATTTCTGGAAAACCTTTCACGTCAAATGCGAGATTTAAGAGGGTCCTGCCGAGGCAAGAACTGTCCAGACACCTGGCGAGACAAGAGCCAGGAAAAAGAAATTTTCCCTGTTTTTCCCAAATAAATCTCACCAAGTCGAAGAAGAAGCCACAAAGATGTTTATTTCATTCCAGCTGGAATTGATGTTAAACTGCAATCATTTGCCCAAAAGCTGACATAACTCACAAGGCAAAGCAACACAGCTTTTATGGGAAATACAGAACTGTCAAATTCAAATTTCCCATTCCCACCTCCCTAGCCGGCTTTGCACTGATTGATTGGAGTTATTAGCTGGCTGGGAGGCACTGCTGGCTCAGCTGTGCCTTGCCCAATCAGAGAGCTAGCACTGCTTCAGCCTCTCAGCCAATGGGAAGAAAGAAGGAGGGCCAGGTGGGAAACAATGAATGAAGAGGAAAGATGATAATATTAAAATGACTAATGATTGTCCAATCAGTCAGCAATAGATTTTCTATCCCTCGAGCTGGCCAGGGCTATTGTTAGAATCTCTTGAAAATACATTTTTGTCTAGCTCAGAGGCTAGATCCTTTGTTGTCCAGGGATCCATTTATGAGATTTGAAACTGGTATCGGCTAGCTGGGTTGGCACAATGAGAAAGAAGCTGTGGTGAATCCTAATTCCTCGCAGACAAGAAGACACCCTTTGTGTGGGGTTATTTAAATGTCCATGGGCCTTATCCTTTCAGATGGACTAGCAATTTATCCTTTGAGATCTGTTGGATAAGAGCCATTTATTTATTGTTCATGCAAATGAGTTTTGGTCAAGTCCTTTGTGTGGGGATTTACCAGCCCAGGAAATAGAGAAATGTTTCCTAGAGCCATGAGGTGCTGGATTCTTGAAAAGGTGGCTTTCCTTCATTTTTTAAAAAAATATAGACATACACACACATATAATGGTATGGGAGAGGGAAGATATAAGGAATTCATAAGAGGCAAATCATGCAAAGTCAAGGGGGAACCATGTCAGCCTTCCCTCCTTCCAAAGTCCATCAAAAGGTCATAAAAATTGGGGAATATAATAAGAGTTCATAGGGTTTGGCCAGAGAGATCCTAAAAGTTCTAAAGTTCTTCAAAAGTTGATAAAAGCTGATAAAAAGTTCAAAAAAGTTCATGAAAGTTGAGGAAAGTTCATAGAAGTCCTTGGAAAGCTTGCAAGAGCACGGAGGTATCGGAGTCCATTCACTGAAGAAGGAAAACTACAAATCCAATTTCATAAAAGTCAGCAACAGTCTGCCAGGGTCCGGGAGTCCCAAAGGGTGACCACAGCAGGTTCCCTGGAATTGACGAGCCTCCAAACATGCACAAAATGGAGGTTTGTACATCACTGCAACATGAAGCCATGGTTTGAGGTCAGCAGGCTCCCATATGAGGCTTATTGAAACATAAATGATTTTCCCGGGGTGTAGGGGTCCAGAATGCAGAAAGCAAAATAGCAGTTAGTCTTAAAATTAGTCTAGGAAAAAGATGGCACCGGTTTGGAGTCAATCTGTTGACCCGTGGATAGGGGGGCCCAATGGGTTTCTGTATCCCCGGTTCAGAGGAACACAGTTTCAGCCTCCCTGGGATGCTGTAAGAGCATTCCGGGCAAGCCAGCAGTGATCTGCTGCTCGGGAAAGGAAAGGTTCATGTTAGAAAGTGTTGGAGGCAGTAAGGGATATGATGTATCACTGTGGAGAGGTAAAAGTTGCAATCAAATGATACTTTTATTGGGGATTGTTACAATGTTAGGGTAAGGAAGAAAAGGAAGCAAGAAACGATCCTTAGTTGAAACTGCTGCGGTAGCCACAGTCCCTTCAATGTTGGCCCAACCAGATATTCTGGAACTGCGGAACTCTCTGCTGTGGTTCAAATCAGGCTGAAGGCAGGGGCCTGCATGTTTGTCGACCCCACCATCACATGGGAAGAAGTAGATTGCTTTACTCATGAGAGGCAAGAGACTGAAGTTCAACTATGGCAGCCACAATTTGCGGCTGTTGCATCAAGTTTAGCTGAGCATGAAGGAGAAGTAACTTGTTTTCCAGGAATAAGTGGTTGGGAAGGCAAGCCTTTTTAAAAGAAAGCTTTTCTTAAATCATAAAATGGCAACAAAACATCAACAGCATCACTTGCTTGTAAACCAGAACAACATCTAAAAATTCGTGTGACTATGTCTGAGTATAATAATTACATTAAAACTTTCATATTTAGGTTAGAATTTGAAGTCAAAATTCAGCTACCTGCCAAGGAGTGGGCTAAGGATCAGGTGCCCAGCATGTCTCGCTACTTAGTCAACCAGATGAAGACATGCAAAATGGGTGAAGACAACAAGAACAGGGGTTTATTTACTTTCAAACCTGAAAGGATGTCTGATACAGATTCCCAACTCAAAATGAATTGGACATAACCATACAACACACACATTTTATCCCCCTTGATCGTCATTCTAAGTCCCTGTGGCTTCCCTTGATTGGACAGTAGTTGGCCCGGCTTCAACCCGGGTCCCCGTTGGCTAGGGAATCCTGATGACATCAGGGGTGGATGGTGAATCAGTGTGTTAAACAGTTCATATTGATCAAGTCTGGTTTGTACAAAGGGTGACACTCAGGACACAATATGGCTGTTATACAGATATGATGAGTTAAATAAAAACATACAGGTTTTCTCTATATGTTGCTGGAGTCTGGCAGCCTCTCATCTTTGAATTCTGTCAGGAGATTGAAGTCTCTGGCATTGAGGGAATCACTTCTCGAT